CAAAGCTGCCTGCCTGCTCTTTATCTAGGAATCTGTCTCTATTTTGTTTGGTAGTTCAGTTTGTTCATTAAATCCCACATATGAATGAAATCATATGGTATTTGTCTTTCTCTAACTGGTTTATTTCACTCAGCAATAATGTTCTCCAGGTCCATCCCTGCTTTGGTACACTTACAATCTCTACTTTTAAAATCGTAATAATAGCTGTTCTCTTTTGAACAGACCTTGGTTTCTGGGGAGTGGGCTAGGTCATTTAAATACATATATTAATCCTTACAACAATTTGCTAAAGTAAATATAATGCCTAGTTTTAGCTGAGGACAGAATACACAATTTAAGGTCACAGAGTTAATAAGTGATAAAGCCAGAATTCATATCAAGGCAAACTTACAATAAAGACACTACACTACATTCACTATCTTTACAAGGATACTGTATAAATCAACATAAAACAAAACTAAAGACAAACAAAGCAGTACAGGACTCATTTCTTGATTGCAAGTTAAAGGCAGTAATGATTACTCAGCAACTTTTGGGTCATTTACTAAAATCCAGAATTCTCCCTATAAATAATGTATAAAACAAACCTCTGTTTATTAAACAATGTTTTCATAAAAATGATACCTGCACTTTTAAAAAATTTCAATCAATATAGAAAGGTACAAGTAAGTTTTTAAAAATTTGACCCAAATCCTACCACTCATAAATAATTCTAGTATTATTAGGTATACATTACTCCAGGTATCTATCTAATACAGACATATCAACAGAATGTATACAAATAATTTTTAACAATGGGGTCATACTAGACATGCTATTTTTTGAGTACTTAAAGATACTTTTACTTGAGAGAACTTTTTTCATTTTTTAAATTAAATATATTGGGGTAACATTGCTAATAAAATTATATAGGTTTTGACATACTATTTTTAATAAAAATCATAACACTAAATTATTCCAGCATTCAACAAAAGAAAAAGAAAATAAAGTCAACTAAAGAAACTGCTGGTCTTTGGGGGGGACATTTTTCTTCACAAAAAGCAATTTCAGTTCCTAAAAGAATAAAGAAAAAATGTTACAAAAATATTAAGAGAGCAGAGTCATTTAAAAGCTATATGATTCCATTTTACACAATGTGGATTATTAAGAAACAGAAAATGCACTTACACTTTCTTACGTCCCAATTTCTGTAAGACGTACTATCTTTGTATTGTCAAGATTTATAACATTTACATGATGACCATAATTTCCAGATTTTAATTCTTAGTTTTATATTTCCAAAATTCCAGATTTTAGTTTTATATTTAGAAACTACTTCAGCAGCGGTCCTGAATTTTGTACCCACACACTTTACGTATGTAACAAGTCAAATTATTTAAATTAATGGGAGTCGATTTCATTCCAATAAGCATATGGTACCTAAAGGATGTCCTAAGGACCGTAACAATTTAGAATTCTGGCATGACAACAAATATTATGATCTCCAACATCTAGAATTCTGGCACAGTAACGAGGTAAACAGCATCTGCTTGTTAAAAATATAGATTCCCAGGCCCCTCTCACTGGACACTGTATTTTTGAAATGTGGTCCTAGGAAATCCGCACTTCTCCAAGTGTCACAGGTGATTCTTACTATCAGGTTAAATTTGGAAAAGAACACCATATCCACGATGAGCGCATTAGAAAGAGGTCCAAGTACGGCTCTCAGATCAGATACAGACAAATTTTGTCCGTTTTCTAAACTCTTTGGAGAGCTCAGAGTTCACTCCCAAAAGTCCCAAATGAATCGCCTCACCCAGAGCGAAGCAGAATGTTTTTGCCACATTTATGCAGATTAAAAGAGGTGTTTTTGCCAGTCCTCGAAGATCCAGACTTCTGCGGCCCTGGGCAATCTCTGGAATCGCACCCTGACGGCGCCCAAAGCGTGACGCAGCACCGCCGCTCCACCTTCCCCACGTGCCGGTTCACGCGGAGGAGCGGCGCCGCCGGGCTGCGGGGTCTCGGGGCTTCACAGCCGGCTGCGCACCTGCCGTGACACGGGTCTCCCGGGGAGTCTGGGACCTAAACTACCGGCTGCGGACCTGCCGTGACACGGGTCTCCCGGGGCGTCTGGGACCTAAACTACCGGCTGCGCACCTGCCGTGACAGGAGTCTCCCGGGGCGTCTGGGACCTAAACTACCGGCTGCGGACCTGTCCTGACTCGAGTCTCCCGGGGAGTCTGGCACCTAAACTACCGGCTGCGGACCTGTCCTGACTCGAGTCTCCCGGGGAGTCTGGGACCTAAACTACCGGCTGCGGACCTGTCCTGACTCGAGTCTCCCGGGGCGTCTGGGACCTAAACTACCGGCTGCGGACCTGTCCTGACTCGAGTCTCCCGGGGAGTCTGGCACCCACACCAGACCTCGACTTCCAGAGTCCCTGCCCTGGGCTTGCTCCCTACGCCTCGCGGCACCCGACCTGAGAGGGTCTCCGAAGCCCCCGCCAGGAAGAGGACGGGCGGGGGGGCAC